ACAAAATTAGATCACTAGATCACTGAAATCTAATTTAAAATAAGTTTTGGAGGTTTTTCAATCAGTCAGCTACATAGTCACATTAATGCAATTTGCACATCCATGATTTGTTAAGAGATAAAAATTTAATGGCAAGACAGTGAGCGGAGGTAAAAAAAAAACTGCAGCCGTGGCTCCAAATGGAAACTATTAGGAAGAGAAGTGTGGACCGGGAGCACCCCCTTTCCACCAAATTAGCTATAGTCGGCCTAGGTTACTGTATTTTAACGTCCATCATAATGGTGGTACTTAGAGAGCCTAGTATTTTCTGAGGTGGTACACAGTGTAAAAAGTTTGAGAAACACTGTTTTAATCCATGTCTGGAGGAGATATGTAACCTTACTGGGTTACGATGTCCAAGAATGAACAGATTACAGAGTAACAGATACAGCACTCTCAAAGGGAATTTTTTTTCCTGTAGACTGTTCATATCATCTTCGGCCATTTTCATTAAAGGGGCAGAGATGAACCCCTGGTGATGTCATAGTGATGTCATCACAGTTATCTAAGCCTGAGCAGTTTAACAGAGAGCCTGCATTACAAACTGCCAATGTGGAGTTTGAAAGATTTACCAGGCATGTTGGGTCTGATGGAAAATGATAGTGAATCGCATTATGGGAATTGTAGGATCCAGTGTTTTTGGAGTTCAACCTTTACTAAGCACTAAACATGAGGACATGTCAGCCTCTGCTGCTTTGACTGCGACAATTCTTCTTTAAACATGTCTCTTGAGGGTCCATAACCTTTATGGAAATGCAATACTGAATCGCTGGAAAACTACTTTTAGTCATATATATGATTGTGATATTACATACAAAGATAAAAAAAGTGTACAATTACCTTATAATATTCAATGTATTTTTCTCAAGACCATTTCGCCTCCATTTCTAAAACATCCTGCAATCCAACAGTAAAAAGTCACTCTGAACATCATTTCATGTATCTGAGTGGAAGCTTTGAGGTTGCACTGTAGCATCCGAGCCATTATCCAATGGAGTAGCTTCAGCATGTGACTCATCAACATCAGAATCCACTTAATGACATCACAATGCATGTTTCTGTGAGCCTCGGCAGAGCCTATACGACACGCAGTCGCAGGCTCAGCTAAGAAATACTCGCCTGTATATGTTTTTTAAATGTAGAAATGTGACACGAGAATTCAACATCTGAGTGTGGCCATGTAAGGGGCCTCAGGGGAGAAACTGGAAATTTCCATCTTTCCATCTTCCTCTTTGAATCACGGCTCGGTCCATCTCTGAGTGGTACAGAGTGTGATGAACACTAAATGGCTCCTCCTGGCTCTGGTGGTTTCCTGACATCCATTCTTACAGGTTTATAAGGAACACATACAGAACCACACATAACACGCACATACAGATATAGGCAAATATATACAGAACTGTGTGAATGTCACACGTCAGAAGCCATCTGCCTAATGTGCACCCCCACCACACACACACACACACACAAACACCCACCCACCCAACCCCCTTCCAGCCAAGCATAGCCCACGATCACGCTACACTGTACCGTTGGCTAACCCATCAAAGGCCTCTTATGTGTGAGTGTGTGTGTGTGTGTGTGTGTGTGTATGTGCACAGCTGAGATACTTCCATCAATAAACACATAGCAAGAGAGCGCAAAAGCAGATTCACACACGCATCCAAACACTCACCGCCTCCGAGTCTTCAAATCCATGCAGGTACAAATTGTCATACATGGAGGTTTGATATTCCAACGAGCGCCTCTAGAAGAATGAGGGGGAAAAAATGAGAGTGGAGGCGGAGGAGGAAGGAGGGGGCACCACAGAGAAAAAAAAAAGGATGGATGGGGGGATGACGACAATTGCTTCTCTCCACAGCAGAGAAGAATAATTTTTAAAAAAAATCTCCCCTCCCGTTGGATCACGCCTGGTCCTCCGGAGGCCCGTCGCTTGTTGGATGCAGCTTCTCCCTGATCCCACAGTGCTGCTGGCTGGCTCACATTATAGGATGGAGAGGCTCTCCCTGGAGGTAGCCCAATCCTGGCATTTCATTTCATCAGGCTTCCACGCACACACACGCGCACACACACCCACACAGACGCACACATATACATATACACAACAAGCAGCAGAGGCAGCAGCAGCAGCAGAGCAGTGGATCCTTCCTCAATATCCAAGCCTGATGACAGAGCCAATGTGCAAGGAGCTGATTGGCTGGCTGACTGTCCACTCAGCTTGGATGAGCGCTCTCCTTGATTATTTTTTTTTTTTTCTAGTGCGGGGAGGTAGCGGGGATTGGGGGAGGGGGATGGAGGAGTAAAGGGGGGGGAGCAGCATCCTCCATTTCCTTGTTACCTCTCATTCTGCTTATTAATTCTTCAGAAAAATACATTCAGTCTGGTTCTAAAAATACAAGGAGGTCTAATGAATTAAAACATTGGATACATGTATTTAAAAATGGCAGTGTATTTCCACTTGATAGTCAAAATTAACTCTAGTGCACCCCATCTAAATGTTTTAGTTTGTTTCATATTTCATTTTATATTATATTACATTTATTTAGCTATAACCATTCAAACAATAATCATTTATTTAGTTAAAGGTCCAGTGT